CCTAACATAACATAACCTAGCTTCAAAGACGTTTTGCGAGGTTAATATTGATTTACCCCGCCTGAAACCGTAAGAACATAATAAAATAAGGAAGCTACAAAAAGCCTTGAGACATGCACTAGATAGTTCCTGTTAATCCTAATCCCCTTATTACCTACACCCACCTCTCATCCGCATCCATGAAGTCTAGTCTTCTCTTAAAACTCCCTATTATCTGTGCACTAACTACCTGCTGACTGAGTCTGTTCCAATCATCTACCACCCTATTTGTAAACCAATTTCTGCCTATTTCTTTATTAAATCTACATTTTTCTAGTTTGAATCCGTAATTTCTTGTTCTATCCTGACTACTGATCGTAAGAACTTTTCCTACATCCCCCTTATTAAAACCCTTCACCCACTTAAATACTTCAATCAGATCTCCCCTTACTCTACGTCGCTCCAGTGAGTGCAATTTCAAAAGCTTTAATCTCCTTTCATAGCTAAAATTACGAATCCCTTCTATCATTTTGGTCATCCTTCTCTGCACTGACTCTAACAAAATTATATCCATTCTATAATACGGTGACCAAAACTGCACTGCATAGTCGAGGTGAGGTCTGACTAACGCTAAATACAATTTCAAAATAACCTCAGCACTTCTACTTTTAATACTTCTAGTAATGAATCCTAACAACCTATTAGCCCTATTTCTAGCCTCAATGCATTGTTTTCTGGGACGGAGGTCTGAGCTAACCTGAACACCCAAATCCCTCTCACATTCTGACCTATTCAGCATTACCCTGTTTATATTGTACCTGTTTTGAGGATTTTCCCTACCAATATTCATTACTTTACACTTGTCAATATTAAAATCCATCTGCCACTTAACCACCCACTCGTTTAATCTATCTATGTCCCCCTGCAAGTCTTTTACATCAGACTCTGATTTAATAATCTTGCCTATCTTAGAATCATCAGCAAATTTACTAATATCACTACTAATCCCATTGTGTAAGTCGTTAATGTATATTATGAATAATAATAGCCCTAATACA